CATTGCGGCCACGGAAAGTAATACGTCATGACGCCCAAGCCCTATTATTAATATATTCTTACATGTTTTAAATGCTTGACAGTTAATTACCTGTGACAAAGTGAGCACTGCAGACTCTGGCGTGTTCCAGCTTCACACCGTCCAAATCGGACCTGGATATCCGTGTCAGCCATAGGTGACGGCGTTGTTCAGATAGCTGTTTTGTTTTTTCACATTGATTCACGATTACGGCTGGTATGCGATAGAAAGAGCGTTGATCTCCACCTCCATGGGCCGTGCAACCAACAATTACACACGATTTCACCATTTTTCACTGTCAATACTGCCTAAGGCTGCCACCCAATATGGCGGACGCGCTGAGTAGTCACGTGAGCGCGACGTCACATGAAAACCCCCTATTTGGACAATATCTGGATCTGAAAGGCGCTGAAAAAGCCAGACTCGAGACCATACAGCCGAAATGCATTGCATTATTCCAAGATGGGACAGGAGGCCAAAATCCAGCTCCGGCATTTGCAACCCGACCGTACCACCACTTCCACCATAGAGCATATTGTGGCCCTTGAAAATGAGCCCCACGACCTGCTAAGCCACAGAACCACGGACAATGGCGTGGAGCAAGGGCCTTCCATCGGGACTTTGGAGAGATTTAACATCCCAGAAGAAAAAGATGCAGTCCTCCTAGCTGTGGGACTGGAGGCTTAAGGGTCCCAGGAGCTGGGAGACATGCTAACCAGCTGTTGGAAGGTGACCAAAAGGTGCTTTGCTATTGTTCGGAGTTCCCAGTCCAAAGAGGTGCTACATTTTGGGCTATACCACCCAAGGCCATACATAAACCCATCCTTTATGTATTTCCTCCAGTGAAAAAGATGCTACCTTTGCTAGAAGGGGTACGCAAACAGGGCCTGTCCCTGATTTTGCTAGCACCATGTTGGTCAGCAAATTCATAGTATGCCGATATAATCAGTCGACTGGCAGCAGAGCCCTGGCAACTCCCCACTTGCCAAGATCTCCTCACTCAGGTGGGGGTCAGACATGTCCTCCCAACCCAGTGTTGTTGAAGCTGCATGCCTGCCTGCTGAAAGGTCCACGTTATTAGATAAGAGCCTACCCCCTGCTGTGGTGGCAACAACCCAGAATGCAAGAGCATCATCCACTAGAGGCTTATATGCTCACAAATGGCAAGCTTTTGAGCAGTGGTGTGAAGTTAAGCATGTTGTTCCATTTCATTGCTCAGTGGTAGACATTTGAACATTTCTACAGGAAGTGCTCTATAAAGGCTTTGCTTTTCCACAATTAAGGTCTTCCTAGCCACTATTTCTGCCTGTCATACTGGTTTTAATGGAGTCATGCCAAGCGTTCATGCTTAGACTACATTTTCTAAAGGGGGTTGGCCGACTCAGACCTGTGTTTCAACACAGTTTTCCTTCCTGGGATCTTACAGTGGTACTTGAAGCCCATTGTGATCCTCCAATCGAACCTTTGGATTCAATAGATATAAAGTTTCTTTCATGTAAGGTTGATATACTTCTTGTTCTGATGACTACAAAGCGTGTTGGGGACGTCCATGTTTGTCTGTGAATCCTACCTAAATTCCTTTTTCTCCTGATGGTTGTAAAGTCACATTGCGACCTAATGCAGTTATCTCCCTATGGTCGTACTTTCAGACTAGTTCTATGACTATAGAGCTTTCTAGCTTTTTTCCTCCTTTTACATCTGTAGACAGAAGTATGTCACATCTTGTGTGCTCTGTACGTGCATCACACATTTACAATGATGGCACACAGGATGTGAGGTTGTGTGATCAACTGTTTGTTTGTGTTGCTAACCCTGCAAGGGGGAAAGCTCTGTCCTGACAGAGGCTCTCTCATTGGATTGTGGAGCCAATTTCTCTAGCTGACAGCAGCAAGGGTGTCCCTAAGACTTAAGAAGTAAGGGCTCACACCACCGAGGGGTAGCAACCTCGTATGGCACTATTTAAAGGGGGGCTCATAAGTGAAATCCAAGCAGCAAACAACTGGTCTTCACGACATAGATTTGTACAGTTTTATCGTTTGGATGTGACAGCCCCTTCTGACACTCACGCCGTTCTCTCTGCTGGGTCTAAAGTGCTGCAATAGCCTGCTGTGCCTGACCCAGGTCTTATGGCTACTCTCTGGGGTGTTTATATATGTCCCTTACTTATGTATTATACTGAGTGAATAGAGTGAAATGGTACATTATGTTATGTATACAACTACCGTTCCCTGAAGGAGGGGAGCGTAGTATAACACGTCTGCTCCACTTCTCAGCTGGGCTCGGTGAAGAGCGGCTATCGAACTGAGTAATGTCGTCTCTTGTCGTCATCACATCATATAAGGAGGCGTGGTTAGAGGTGGATTCAGCCAGGATACACAGGGGCATGATATCCCATACTCATGTGTTGTACTTTGTTCCCCTCCTTTTGGGAACAGTTGTTGTAAACATAACGGTTTTTCACCTCTAAGGTGATAAAAAGGGAACATACTTCTCAGTGAATAGATATCTACAGAAGTCCCTCTATAAAAACAATGTTCTTTTTATAAGAAACAGGGAACACTTTTCTGAGTAAAATCAAAACTTCCAAATTCTCTGCAGCCGACAACTAACATAAAAAAAACAAAAAAAATCACAAAAGAGGTTAAAGATCCACACCCATTAGCGATTTAAATTAAAAATCTGTCTTTTTCTGATTAGAAATATAACAGCTATATGTTAAAGGACAGGGAAAAAAAGAAGGTAATCTTTATTAATTATTAATTCCACTCAAAATCATATATTAAAAAAATGCAGATTTCCATTGATATTTTGACAATTCCTCTTTAGTAATGAGCTCCATGCATTTAGGGTTAGAAGGTTGCCTTACCAACAACTAAACTCTAGTTCCAATCTTACAGAAGGACCTCCAGAAAACAAAAACACAACTATAAGGTCAACATGTTACTTTTCACTTAAATCTAGTTTAAACCTTTTTTGTTGTTGCATTAATTCATTCTTAATTCCTAGAATAAACTTCATCATTCGGGGAAGGGGGAAATTTCAAGCTTTGCAACTTTGTCATAGTGTAAAATGTCATCTAAAATCATCCACCAAGCTCAGCTAAATATTAGATCTCCGTATTTTTTCCTGATTGAAACAGTGAAGCAATGAATGACAAAAACTACCAAATATAAACACTGCTACCTTTAATTTAAAGAATATTATGAAAAGTGTGTCATGTTGCAGATTTGATAAGGTCTTCAAGTAATTTCAGACATCTCTATCTAAATGTCAGGCTTTCTGAGCAAGAGGAACTCTAATCATTTAAATATTTGAATTAAAATTTAGTAAAAATAAAACTAAATAAAAAAACACCCACTCCATCCACTCCAGTAAGTTTTTAACATTCTGATGAATAGAAATTTTTGCTTGTTCCAATAATTAGTTGCCGTCAACACCCAGGCATAATCACAGCTATTCATCTTGTCCTCCACCTCCTCTGTTTAAACGCTTGTGTGTTTCTTTTTTGGTCATTTATCTCATGCCCTCTTGCCCCCCCTCCCCATGCTCGTCTTCCTCTCTCCCTCCCTCCCCCCACTCCTTGCTGCTACGTTGCATTAATCTGAGCATCAGGCCTGTGGATTACATTTGGGATTACAGATTGAGAGGCATCCTGCTCCATCTCTCTGTCTGTCCCCCTTGGCACTGCTCCTCTTTCTGTCACCCTATCCATCAGGCCACAGCTCTCGCCCGTCAACCCCTCCTCATTTGGCCTCTTCACACCCGCACACACACATATTGTATGACACAACAGGCTCTGCTTCTCCACCTTTCTTTTCCCTTTTCTTCCTCTTGTCACCTGATCTCACGTACCAACTCACCCCCCAACCCACCTCTATCCCCTTCAATGTTCTCACCCTCTCCTCCTGCACGGCAGCGTCGGTTTCATCTGCCCCTCGGCATGACAATCACTTTAACAATGATCTTGAATCACTGTCAATGATAAATCTTCCACAGGCAGGGAAAGGGATCCATCATCACCGAGTCACACCAAAGAAATAAGGGCAAATGCATGCACACCAGGCTGGGGAGCAGGAGGTGCAAAAATGTTTATGTATGCACCTGGTTATGTATGAGGAATTCAAGCAATGCAATACAGGAATCAGTCACTAGCTCTGGATGGAAAAATATCCCCAAAAGGTCTGTGTGTTTCTATGGCAATGCAAACCTTTATCTCAACACTTCACTTAAAAAAAATGAAACAAGAGAAAAAGGATGAGAAACTGACCTTTGTTGCAAGTGGCAACCGAAGTCAAGCAAAGGAGGAGGAAGGAGAGAAAATTCATTCTGTCCATCTGAAGAAGGAAAAAGGGGAGGATAAGAGGACAGGGATGAAGAGAGGGGACAGAGAAGAGGAAGGGGTTGGGGGTGTACAGTTCATGCATCAACAACGGACCAGCAGAGGGGACAGTACAGTAACAAGAAGCAGATCAGGCAATTCAGATGGCACTGAAGAGAAGATTTCACAGGGATGTCTGAGCAATAAATCACCATTACAGTGTCATGGATGACAGCTGCTAAACTAATTTGCATGAGTTGCAGGATTGAAGCTCCAGTCCAGGAGCATTTGGTCAGCATGCAGAAAACACACATATACCTGGTCATAAGTGCATGTGGCAGAGCTGTGTGTTTTATCATGGTACCCCCCCCCCCCCCCCCCCCCCCACCCCCCGGTTTGTTTAGACTGAAGGGAAAATTACAGGCTTTTATACACATGAAATAAAAATCAAATTTAGAGGATTCTTTTTTTCCCCTTTTTTTTAAATAATAAAATAAACATGATCAAACACATCCATAATTACAAACATGCTATGCGACAATTATCAGCGCAAACTGCGGGCTGACACACATTTCTAACGGGCGTGCGTAAATGCGTAAAGCAGCAGCTTTAAGCAGGAAATGTGGCAGAAACGATGGTTTGTGATGGAAATGTAGGACATTACCGTTGTGGTTGGTACCCTGCTTCTACACTCGCAGCATCCGCCTCTCACGCCCCTGCCGCTTCGCTCCAGATCAAGTCGGCTCCTGACAGCAAACCCAAAGCTCCGCCTGTGGGATGAAGGTGGATGGAGATGGAGACGGAGGCTAGCAGAGAAATGACGCTCGGTGGGTTATTGGGAGGGTGGTATGAAATGTAGGAAAGACGCACGTCCTTATTTTTACCCCCTTTTTCCTCAGTCGGTAGGAAGAAGACAAGTAGTGGGAATATTACGCTGGCATGCCCTCCCTTCCCTCTCGGCGTTTCTTAACCCGCCCACACTGCGTCCTTCTCCTCCTCTAACAGACTGCTGCCCTGGCTCTTTTCTCCTCCGCTCTGACTCAGGCTCCAAACGCAGCGGCGACTTTCCCGTCTTCTGAAGAGCTGTCAGCTTATTGACTCGCCCACATCCCAGTTTTATTTGTGCGTGTTTTTATCCGTTTCCACGCATTTCACGCTGCTCACTCAGTCAGTCCCTCTCTGCAAAATGACGTCACTTCACCACGTTTAGCCCTCCTGCCAAAGCTTATTCTGTAAAAGCAAACATATTCAATAGAAGGCATCTTTTCCAGAGGCGTAGCCAGAAAATCCTAATAGGGGTGGCCGGAAGGCACCAGAATCTCAGGGTCAATCTACACTGTTTCAACAGGAATGAGCACAACCATCCATATTTTCTAAATAAAGACAAACTATACTTTCCTGCAGCCTTTGCTAAAAAATACACTCATATATTTAAACATCTATGCTGTGTAAATAAAAGGTTAAGTGGACATAATTCTTTCAGGTTTGAGTTCTGGGGTGAACATATTTTACATTGTCATTAACTACTTTATCAATAGTCATTCTGCCAAAAATAATTATATTTAAATCTACTAATATCCACATTTAATGGATTTTTGTAACGATCTTGGTTCTGTTGGTTTTCTCTAAGTTTTCAGTTTCGAGTTTATCTTTGTTTTTCTTTGTTTTCTAGCTTTATTGGTGTGTTCTGGATTTATTTAAGTTTCTTAGGTGTTTCTTTGCTTGTCCTCTGTTGCCCGCTTGTGTTTTCTTTTCCCTTTGCTTCCTCGTCAGCTCTACTCACACCTGCTCCTTATCAGCTCGCTAGTCCTGACTTTGTTCAGTCAGCCTTAAATACACTCCCTCTGCAGTCTCTCATTGCTGGTTCCTCATGATTGTTTCTCCCTGATGTCCCCATGGTTCTGGTTTGTGTTTAAGTTTTATGTTGGATTTTGGATTCCTGTTTTAACATTTTTAAGTTATAATTTTTGGATTCCTGTTTTTGCTGCCTGTGTTCATTCATTAAATCTTCAAAGAACTCACCCCTGCCTCTCAGCCTCTGCATTTGGGTCCTCACAAAAACCCCAAACCAAATCGGGACATTTTTAAGTTATTAAAGTAGTTATTTATTTATGATTTTACTGAAGACTCCTAGATGACTTGCAGAGGCACATAATTTTATCTTTACCCCTAATAATTAAAAATTTAGTTCTGAAAATGGCATGAATTCTGTATCTATCATCTTTAATGTTTGTATATTTATTTTCATAATTAATCAGTGTTTCTGTTGTCAAGTATTTTTTTATATATGAAAAAATTTAAATGTTAAATAAGTTTGAAGATTCCCTTTCAGAGTATTACTGTCAGGGTTTGGTTGTGGTTAGAGGACCCAAATGCAGAGGCAGATAGGCTGAGGAGATTTCTTGCAGCTTAATTGATGAAAACAGTAAACAAAGGCAGGAATCCAAAAATCCAACTTAAAATGTAAAGCAAACCAGAACTATGGAAACCAAACACGAGGAGCCAGGGAGAGACGAGGTAGGAAGAAAACAGCAGTAAGAAACCAGAAACGACAAGAAACCAACAAGGAGTGACAGCAGAGGGAGAGTATATATAGCTGACTGAGACAAAGGCAGGGCTAACGAGCAGGTGTGAGAGGAGGCAACGAGGAAGCCAAGGGGAAAGGAACACGCATACAAGAGGGCAACAGAGGACAACAAAGAAAAACCTGAGAACTAAAATATATCCAAATACATCAAAACAGGAATTAAACCAATAATACTAGAAAACATGGAGCAAAGGAAAGCACAACAGAACCAAGACCATGACAATTACTGCTACCATCATCTGTATTAGAGGGGAAAAAAAGGTAAGGGTGGCCTTGGCCCCCCCATCTAGCTCCACCCCTGATATTTGCTCTGCTCGATTCCATAAATAACGCATGCTGCATTAAGAGTGTGGCATTTTGTTTCTGGGGTGAATCGTTTCCTGTTTCCTTGCATTACTCCATATCAGTTGGTGTCGGTAATGCACTTCTCACAAGTTTGCCAACCGCTATAAAACCTCATAAGAAGAAGAAGAGTGTGGCATACAGTCAAACTCTCTTCCCTTTATTCTGATGCCTCTAAATAAATTACTTAATTAGTAAATTTAATTCAATTTAGTTTATTTACTAAGATCCGATTCACAACACATGACATTTCAAGGCACTTTACAGAGACAGTTCAACCAGATGAAATGGTCAGATTGATAAAAAAAAAAAAAAGTTTTATACCTAAGGAAAACCAGCTGCATCCAAACATCGCCTTGCAGGAGGCGCTCCTCCTGGATGAGCAGGTGGACATTAGATATTTGATTGCACTTCATCCTTGACTCTACAATAATCCTTCACACCAAGCATGCATGCGGGTACAGTGGAGAGGAAAAGCTCCCTTTTAAACAGAACAAACATCCAGCAGAACAAGGCTCAGTGTGAGCTGCAAAGTTTTTTCTACAAATTTTTGTATCGAGCTGTGAAAAAACAATCGACTTCAAACATTTACAAACATGTACCCTCGGTGAGACCATAACAGCTCCTTCTAATACACTATTCGTAATTTCTTCTACATTTTTCTCTCTTTAAATGCTGCAACAGCATACTGTCAAACTCTGAAGCTGTGTGGTAACTTTTATATTTTTCATTTTCAAAATGAGTTGCACATTTCAAATATTTTAATTATCCTGACTTTAAGTTCGCTTTTTGCAATGCACACATCTGGTTAACTTTATTTGTCAAGTTGTTAGCTTTTTGTTAAAATGCAATTAATTAATTTTTCTGAGTTGCTAGTTTCCTTTGGATCTGCTGCTGGAGGGCTGCAATGAGCTCCAGCTTTCTTCTCAATTGACCGTTACAGGCTAATCAGCGGGTCACACCATTTCTAATGGGAAGGGAAATTTGTTTATCATTTGTTTAGATATTCTTAGTTTGGTTAGTTTTATTAATTTGCTAAATTTAAAAAGAACTTAGTGTCTGGCCAGTATTTATCTGTTTGATAAATTTTGTTTGTTAGTCAGTTATCCCCCTTGTGTGTGATGTCTTGTTTGATAGGTCAGTTTGTGCTTGAGTTCTTTATGTTAGTACCTGAATTGAAGTCTGTTTTGTTGACCTCTGTATTTGGGCCCAGTTTTACATTTTTTTTTAACACTTTTTTTTCATCTAGTAGTGGAAGTCCCATGTCCTGTTATCCTGGTTCTGATTGCGACAGTGGACCAGCAGATCAACCTCCTGCCTTCTTAAAGACTTATTACTGACTTGCCACAGACCACTGACTGGTTTCATCCATGAGCAACTGAAATTTTACAGATGGGTCAATTGAGTTGAAATTATTTGAATACAGAGAGGAGAGGACACACGCCTTGGGGGAACTGCTGCTGATGGTTCTCATGCTGGAGAATTTCCCATTTTTCTTGTCATTTCCAGTCAGTCAGGAGATCAAAAAGAAATCCCTTTGCTGAACAGACAGTCTTCAGACTTCAGGTAAGCCAAAGCAGTTTGAGTCTAGACTAGATTTAGTGCCTTTGTTCCTGCATTTTACATAATAACTTAAGGCGATACAAGCAAAGCAAGGCATATACGACTGGTAAATAACATCAGAACCAACCAGATGGAAATTAAGGAGAAAAAAACAGATTTTTATCATTTAAAGTTCTAAAAAACAATATTCTTCCTTTTAATTATCCACAGCCGTATCAATCATCACTTGAGGCTTATTGGAGTCGAACTCTGATTTAAAAATATGAGTCTATAATCTGTACTGCTCAAAAAACTCAATTGTCTCAGAATCAAGCCTGAAATCCTCCATGTCAATGACGTATAATAATATTTGCCAACACCTCCTGTAGTGTGATCAACCAATGTAGAGATGGAGCTGAAGAAAATACACTTTTCCTTCAGTCTGCTTTGAAAATAACCTATTTTGTGGAATCCTGTAGAGGAAATCCATACTTCATAACACAGCTGTTTTACTGTCAGTGCACATTTGTTAAAGACAAATGCATGCCAGGACTGCATTTTTAAACGCACATTAAATGTGGTCAAATGAGCACGCCAAAAAAAATTACAGAGGTCTTCCTTGAAATGCAGTATTTTATTTAACATTACAAAAGTATATTTCAAATCACTTTCACCTCTTAACATGTTTTCTTTTGTACATTTTATTCGGATAAGGCAAAAACAGGAGTCTCTTGAAATAGCATTTCATCAATTAATAATCAGCATGTTCTGTATAAATATTACTGAAATCTGGGCCGTTGCTACGGTGAGGTTTGTCCTCTGTGTGTGAAAGGACGGTGGTAACAACGGCAATATTTTTTTCCCCCTTACCCAGAAAATGTGCACATTACAAAGGGGCATATGGGCTATGATCCTTCACTCTTGTTAATTACGGTCTGCTGTTAGAAACACAGGAGCGGGCTGAAGGGTGAAATCCCCAACGGTGCATTTTTTAAATCAGTGTATGACCCATACTCTCACAGACTGGACTTCAGAGGGACCAAAACCACTGGGTGTGATTTATTTGCACATTTGTGCTTTTTAAAGTGAGGGCTGCAGTTGAATCAAAGTAGCTAGACAAAGGAGTGGCACAGAGTTGAAGGACGAGAGAAGAAAACTATATGGACTACAAAGAAGGGAAAGGCAGGAGAACAATGCGTCTTATCCAAAAACTACAAAATGTTCATTTTCATAAAACCCTATAAAAATCATACAATTTTTTTCCCCAATTACAAATCAAATTAAATCCAGAACAAACGAACGGTAGAAACATTCATTGATTCAAGGCCATTTAGAGTTGGGTGTTAGATGTACAGTGTGTGATTTTACAGTGCTTGTATAACCACTAGCAGCCATTTGCAGAGAAAAAAAAGCCTCCAATCGTCCAAATCTTTCTGCAGAAACGTGTGCATGTTGGATCATGACATCAGGAAGTATTATATATAAATATCCATACAGCTGTGCTTAAACCCTCTATTAAGGGTTAGTGCTGCTGCAAAAATGAGGGTGCCAGACATGGGGCAATTAAACAACAAAAACACACAGGAGCCTAAAAACAGACTCAGAACCTGTGACTCATAAGTGCAATCCCATATCGACGGCATGAAAAGTCTTCTCAAGTTTCACACGTCTTAAATTTACCTCAAAAAAGAAACAAAAGAGAGTGATAATGATATACAAGCAGGAAACTGA